GGGTTTAGGGGGTTTAGAGGGTTTAAGGGGGTTTTGGGTTTGTGCTTTTTTCAGTGCAATGGGACTTTCTCTGCATGAGATGTCTCAGCCTTTCAGCCTGCACTATAACATCCCTCTCAGAACGTCGCCCAGCTTCAAAGACACTTGCTCAAAGACTCCAACCGACACGGTGCTGCCGTCTTGGGGTTTAGGGTTTAGGGTTCAGAGCTTTAGGGGTTCAGGGGTTTAGGGTTGAATTCTTGGGGCTTCGGGGTGAAGGGGTGGAAGGGCTTCTCAAGTGAGGGGAGAGGGGTTTGGGGCGAAAAAGGGCTTCAGGGCTTTAGGGTTAAGGGGCCTTGGAGAGTTTAGAGGGTGTAGGGGTTGGGGAGTTAAGGCTTTAAGGGTTTGGGGGTTGAAGGGTTGAGGATCGTCGGTGTGGAAGCTGGGCGTCCATTTCCGTGGTATGAACCAATTTTCAACGTGGGGAACAGGGCTTCGGGCGCACTAAAGCCCTGAAATTCCCAAGCCCGACAACTCCCTGCCCCAAAGGACCGGAGCTCTAGACTTTGAACCCCCCCTGTGTAACAAAGCTCCTCGATCCGTCATATCAACTCAGACGCTGAACCCTGAATACTAAACTAAACCTTAAACCCCTAGACCCCTAAACCCTGAACCCTAAAACCCTAAACTAGCGGCGACTAGCGGACTCGAGCTCCAAACCTCCCCTTCTGCAGCACCGGGGCAGACCACGAGGTGCGTGGGGCCCTTGCCGGCGCCGTTTGCGCTGGCGGCGCCTGCAAGCGAGAGGTCGGTGGAATAGCGAGCCTAGGGCATTTCTCTGAACCCGAAGCTACGTAAGGCTTTAGATCGTATTGCTTGTTTGACAAGGATGAAAGCAAGAAGGTCCGAGGGGAGTCCTATTGTCAGGTCTTATTACTTCTACTCAAATGGGGCCTCTTAGGGGTTGTAGGCAGTCACAATCGGGCTCTCGGGTACAGTACACTATAGTCTAGTCTAGTACAGTATATTGCTGGGCTGCTCAGGCCTCAGAAGCCCCGAAAACGCAAACTCCGGAGGACAGGGCTCGAAACTCTGCGAGCCTGCAACTGGAGTACCCAAGGGCACAAGACCAAGGCACAAACCCGAATGTGAACCGGACATACCTGGATAGGGGCTTGTTAGGGGGCCCCGCGAATTTGAAGTCCCCAAATTCATCTCAAAAACTCTTGCAGCACCCAACAGATACCAAATAAAGACCTTGGTAACATCGTAAACCCAAAGCCCTCACCCTAATACCCCAAAAGCCCTAAACCCTCAAAAAGCCCTAACCTCCCTAAACCCCCCAAAAGCCCTGAAACACCAACAAAAACCGAAAGCACCCTCTAAAACCCGCAACCCCCCCGCCCTCGGGCGCCTGGGTTGGGATGTGCTGGTGGACCGGCAGGGCCGGGCTGGCGACGAAGGTGAGCGAGGGCTGCAGCGACATCGCCTTTGCGAAGGTTTAGGGTTTATAAAGGGGTTTAGGGGTTTAGGGGTTTAGGGTGTTTAGGGTGTTTAGGGTTTAGGGATTTAAGGGTGTTTAGGGTTTAGGGTTTGGGGGCTCTAAACCCTGAATTACTAAACACACAACCCTAAACTCTAAGCCCATGCGGAGGACTCAGTAGCTTTTGAAGTGCTTTCAAAGTGGCTTGAGGCTTGCAAGGAGGACTTTGTGGAGGGAGGCTCAAAGGGGTCTTAAAAGGGGAAGCACGCCGGCAGGCTGGGCTTCAGGGTTTTGTTTTCGGGATGCGCTTTGAGGTTAGGGGTGTGGATTCAACCTTTTAAAAAGGGCTACTGGCATGTTGCAAGGGTTGCATGGTGTTAAGGCTTGGGTTTTTATAGTGGTGGGGTCGAAAAGTTAGCTAACACACGGTTTTGTCGGATTCCTGTAAAGCTGCACACGCTTCAGTGCAAACAAGGTGGCCGATGGAATGCTGTACGCGGCAGGCCCGGAACAAGGAGGAGCCAAATAGCCTTGAGAAACTGCAGCGGCATGATGAGCTGAGCTTGTGCTTGGCGCTTCTTGTCACCATGGCCAAGTCAGTTCCAGCCTAGAGCTAAAGTTATATGATATGGGGCCTTAATCATCAGAATAAGGTTTTAGGGAATATGCTAGATTGATAGAGCGAAAATGTGGTACAGGGGCCTTAATAACTGATTTTCCACTGTACTCACAATATCAGGAACCCCAAAATAGTATTGGTATACTCTGGGCCCCTATGTTAATCAGCCCAGCTCCCCGCAAACACTGAAATAAAGCCTAATATCAAAACCGCAACACTGCCAAGTAAACCCCAAACGAGACAATGGTCCGATCTCGGCCGTATAGCCATCACACAGAAATTCGCCCGGTGGGTAGAGGGTCAGTATAGGCTTGAGGCCACTGTTCTGCCTGATAGCAGACTAGTAGTAGAGATGTGGGTTTAAAGTTCAGGGATGAATCGCCCGAGTAACCACAGAGACAAGCAGCGAGATCAGTGGTAGTGGGTGAAAGGCTCTCCAGATTAGGGCTCTCCTTGCCAGCTGCCTGTCTACTGAGGCAAAGCGCGAAGCCCAGGCTCAGAGCAACCACCGAGCTGCCTCAAAGTGCACTGTTTTGAAAGCAGTGGTCGGATTGGTCAGGGGCTCTTCAAAACACTTGTGTCGGAGCATGACAGCAACCAAATGCAGTCGGCTCTGTTCAAGATTGAAACGCGCCTTCGTTGGGAAAGCTGTCTTCAGCTTTGTCTACCGAAGGCATGGCACTGTGGCATGAAACTATATCATTACGTGACTCCTTTGGGCATTTCCCAAAAGTCAGGCAGCTGCGCACTCAAAAGTGGCGAGAAGAAATCTGCGACCCTAGATCCCTTGTAGTGACACTCCGCAGAGTCTACTGGAATATCGCGGAACAAGTGCGCAGGAGCTCGAGCAAACGGAATCTACCAGGTCACTGGACAGAAAGGTTGCCCGCACGGTCCATGGGCGTTCCTTGGAATCTTTAGTCATCCCGACTTGGGCGGAAGCTGGGGTCTTTCTATCGTGCTTGTTTGTTTTGGTTACTTCAAAATTCAATGACTGGAATTGACTGTAACTTCTTTTTCAACCCTGAACACTGGATCCAAAATTCCAGACAAGTAAGCAAAGGCTCCGTCAACAAGGTAGCCCACGTCGGCCGCATAGATGGATGCGGGCAAAGGCGAACCAGGAGTGTGTGTGTCCGGCTGGATCGTCTCCTGGGAGAGATGGTCCGGGGTTCACAGTTAGGGGTGCCAAACGGCGACGCTTGAATGCAGTGCCAGATATCTTAGCTAGGTTGGCAGGTCTGATGTTGGTAGACAAACACCGGCGTTTGTTTCGGGGGGCGCCAAGTCCTACACCCTGTCACCTACAGCCCAAACCCCGAACCTCAAACTCTTTCGAGCATCCCTTCCACTAAACCCCTATAACCCCTACAAGCCCTAAGCCCTAAACCGCATCCCTTCCACAGCGATTCTCGAACTCTTAGCTCTGACAGAACTCACGGGCCCTCGGTCGGCTTCCAGGGTGCTGAAGACTTCGGAGTGGAATCCAGACAACCCAAGTAGGCCTGGTAAAAAAGAAATATTCAGGTGCCTCAAACCACAACCTTACAATCCCTCTGAGGCTTTATAAGGCCTTTAGGGGCTTGAAGGGTCCCATGTTTGAAAGCTTCGGGGATCGGTGGGAAATGACGAATGTCGAAGGCTGGATCCTTCGCACAGTCCAATCACATCCTAAGACCGAAGCCCATTAAACACAAAAAGAAGTCAACGGCAATTGATAAACGTCAGCAAACCTCACTTTAGAAGCCCTTGGAGTGGAACCTGAACCCTAAGGACGAACCCCGAACAAGTGACGAAACATGCAATGCATATAACCTACAAGCCCTGCATCAGCCAGAAAACAACATACTATATCTGAGCGGCCGGATGGTTGATGGCGTTGCCAGCACGGTTGAGCGGCGTGCCGTCTGGGAGGTAGCCGACGGAATTCACGAAGATGGCACGGGGCAGTGGAGATCCGGGAGTATGGCTGTCGGGTCCAATGTTCTCGGGATGGTTGATGGCGTTCCCAGCTCGATTCAACGGAGTGCCGTCTGGGAGGTAGCCCA